GGAGCATCGTCGAAAGGATTCTCGAAACGAGGAAAAAAGCGAGGAGAAAAATTTCATCCGGCTGTATGAGAAGCTGGAGTTTTCGAGTCGGCAGATGAACTTTGAAGGGCCTTGGGCTTGGATGGTGTGCACGAAGCAGAGACGAGGCCGATTCTTCGTTGGCCGCGGTTTCCGCGCGCGATTCAACGAGGACGCCTCGACATCCCAGCGAATTTTCGCAACCTTCCTAGGGAATTATGCTAATTACCGAGCTCGCTGTCGCGGCAACCGACCACCCCGAGTGCTTTCTTTCGACCGTTATAACGTTCCGTTTCGACCGAAGTGTAGCGAGAACAGCTCGAGCCGAGTTAATCCGTCTGGACGGATAAAAACGATAAAAACGAACAACCAGTTGGGTGGATACGGTGTTGCTCGCCTGTCAAACGCTCTCCGTCCTCGGGCTGCTTCCGAAGAAATCGATTTATTCGCTCTTCTACCGCCTGTTACAAACCGGACTTGTTCCAAAGGTAGTTTTTAACAGAGCAATGTCGCGCCGAACGATGTCGAAAATATTCGCCGGGCAAAAAAATTACTTTTGGATCAAACGATCCGAGAAGCAGTCCAGGTTTCACCCTCCATCATCGTCATTGTAACTCGGCTACCTTTTACACCCGCGATACCGTTATATTTTCGGATCGAATCCGACCCCCGATGAGAGAACGCGTTTTTAAAAGTGCTGTACACGTATGGGAACTGTGAAAAGCGTAAAGCGAAGTGAAACGAAACGGAAACCTGCTTCTCGCAAATGGACGAGTGTACGAGAGTAAATGGGAAAAAACCACTAACGATAAGATCAAATTTCGTTGAGTAATAAAACACGATTTTCGATTTTCCCGATGACAAATCTGCCGAAACGAATGTGCAATAAAAATCACGATCATCCGCCAATGGTCGATTACGTAAAAGCCAGGCTCGAACGGGAACAAACGCGAGGAAAGTTGCGAGCGTGATTAACGTAATGATTAACTGGAGCATCGTTGTCGATAAATATGTAAAATGTTGCTACACGTCCGAAATAAATCGTCGACGCGAAAACGGATATAATGGAGTGTGCGTTCAATTACAAATGAAATAGTGATCGAATTCTCGCTCTGCCGTCAAATAAATTACTTATTAATGAATATTACAAAATCACCGCACGTAAGACACGAGTCCGATTTCAAGACCGTGAAATTCACTTCATTCGAAACGTCGTTTATCCGTTATCAAACATCCAGTCGGATGATAAGTAACGCCACATTCTCGCGATTTGATAAGTTCGATCGAGATAGTGGCATAGCCGAAGATAACGAAGAACGACGCTTTTTATTAAAAAGTCGTACGAGAAAAAAGAAAAAGAATTTGATTGCGAGCGGGTTGCAGTGGTACGCAGGGGTCGATCTCTCTCGTTGGCGATGAATTAATCACCATCGAAAGGGCCTTTATCGTTCTCTGTTCTCCACGGCGAAAAGCAACCCGATAAAAAGGCTCGATCTCCCAATAGAAATTTCAAAGTCCGCCAATAATTAACCGACGAGCTCCTCCTCCTCCTCTTTCCTCGTTTCCAGCATCGCGTCTCTATCGCAAATCACACGCCGTCGAACGTGTCCCGAATCTAGTCCTTAATGAATCATAATTTCCCGATCTGCTAGCTCTCTTTCCCTACTCTCTTTTCCCTACTTTTCTTTTTCTTTTTCATTTTCCTCTCGTTCTCTCGTCGAGGAGCGACTGAAAACGAGAGGTGCACGGAACGAGCGCACAAAAGTACCTACCACCCCAGCCACGGGGCTTCGAGGCAGGAAAAAAAGTCGTGGGAAACCGGTGGAAAGTGGGTGGACCTGGTTCGCAAATGCGATATCTTGCTAACGAGCCAGTAATGTGCGGCGGGCCGCGCCAATAATTTCAATTTACCGGTGTCGAAGGTGGCGCACAACCTACCCACCGCCTAGAGAGCACCACTGAAAGGGCTGTATTACACGTACCTGGAAAATGCTTTCATTTTTTTCTTCCCTCTTCGCTCCCTTCGTTTCTGAAAAGTTCTTCAATTTCTTCCAGCTGCTGTTTCCCCTTAAAAATATCAAAAGCATACGTCGCTCTCTATCATCTTTTTCTAATTAAACTTTAGCTAGAAGGGATAGATTAGTTTCCGAATGGCCCCACTAAAATTGAGAACACAGGTTCGGTATTTAACCTAAATTGACTATCAGAAACTGATTAAAATTGGTTGCAGAGTTGAATGTCTTATCGTTTTTAAGATATCGTGGTAAGAAATTTTTGTACGATTTTGGGACTACGTATGCGCTATTCGTTACTGCGCATGCGCTACTCAATACTGCGCATGCGCTATTCGATACTGCGCATACACAGAACCTTACCTAACCTTACCACGATATCTCGAAAACGGTAAGACATTCAGCTCTGAAACCAACTTTAATCGGTTTCTTGAAGTCAATTTAGGTTATATACCTAACCTGAGTTCTCAATTTTGATGGGACAATTCGGAAACACAGCCGAAGGGATTAATAACGACTGAGAATAGTGGTCTAAATATCTGCTTGGAAATCCCAAAAGGATACCGGTCGCTGGATACGCGTCGATACTTGGTTCCCCCATCACTGGTCAAGTTAATCTCGTATGCAGTAATTATGGCCAAGTAAGATAGATCGGATGTTTCAATTAGCAGTTTGCCAGGCTCGATGCATCCGGGATGCAAGATGCACGACGTTGCTGGGGTTCCGAAACGAGATGCGAATTGAAAATTCAGGATGGAAGGTCGATGAATGGGGATAATCAGGTTAGCGGGAATACCGAAAGTAAAACGGGCATTCCCGGTACGAAAATAACGGGCTAGGTGTTTGTCCTCTATGAAATTATATTCGAACGCGATCGCTCCCATAAAATCATCGTCGAGCTGCGAACTTCTCTCTCTCTCTCTCTCTTCTCGGCTATAAATAAAGCCACTGCCACCGAAATCCACTTAACACAGCTAACTATAGATGCATTTAATAGAACGACGATATCTTTCCGTCGGAATAGCCCGTGTCGCGTTCTATTCGTCGATATATCATCCCCTGGATTTCCTTCGCCGTCCCGAGGGCACGGTTTCCACTTTTTACCCGAATTTCGAACGATCCTCGGCGACACCGACCGCCTCATTAAGGAGTGACGTATCGACCTGGGAAATCGGCATTATTCTCCATGGTTTCTTGCTGTAATCAGTGCGTGGTGGTATCGCGGGACCGAATCTGCGCGTCGTTACCCTGCAAAATCCCATGCAACCCATGGGACCGTGTCGATCTTTCGAACTCGAGGGGCTCGGAGATTGAATTTGTTGTAGTTTCGGGTACACTATCTTCGGTCGAGTTGAAGAGAAAACAGGGCCGGGAAGAACCCTAATATTGTAGCTGGAGACAACAATGGTCGGACTCGAAGGATTATCGTTCGATGATAATGCGCTTTAAAAAGAATATAAATTTTCACGTGTTTGGAATTATATTCTCGTGCACCCTCGAGAGGCGAATAAAAAGATTAGTAGGTTTCCCGGTTTACCCAAGTAGCCTGGTCATGCCAACGTCCCCGGAGGTTGACCGTATCAGTCGCCATAAATAGAAAACGATGGATCGAGGGTGGTGTTGCCGTTGTACAGGGGGATGCGAACCATCACCTACGTGTCTGTTCTGACGAGTTCGATCGTTTTTCTCTCCGGAAAAAGGAAGGTCCAATCGAGAAAACGAAAACGGACGAGGAGCCGTGGATAGGGAGGAAAAATGTGAAAGAGGGGTATATAAACGTGGCAGGGTAAAATACTAACCGTGGTGTGCATATGGGGCTCAAGGTTTAACCTTGACCCTCCTGGAACTCGAAACTCACCACGCCCTGAAGATATACACCACCCTCGATTCTCTTCCCTTTAGTTTTTCCTGAACGTTACTTTGATTTATCGTGGGCTTCCTTTCCAGTTTCTTAACGCGTACGTTTCTCGAAAAGGAACGCCATAAACACCGAAGGTTTTATGGTGTTTTCTTAATCTGTAATTCGTTGAGAAAAATAGCCCAACATTTAGGGTACTAATAAAGAGAAAATGCTTTAATTATTTAATGAAGTAAAGCGAATGGAAGACGCGCCATCGAAAGTTAAATAATTACGTTTCCAGTTACCTACCCTAGGCTGAAACGCAGAATAGGTTAATTAAAGTGAGCAGCGTGTTACACGGCCATGTATACGCAATATTCGCGATCCGCTGAAACATTATGCAAACACGGTTAATAACGATCGTTTGTTTTTCCTCTGTTTTCCCCCGGCTTTTCTGTTCGCGCCAACCTCCAACGATCGCTCACCCTTTCGCGTCCTTTCTTTCTTTCACGTCTTTCGAAATCTATACGCGGAAGATTAAAAGCGTTTCTTTTTCCATTCGCCGGCGTTACAACGAGCGGCGAGTAGTCGAGCTTTTACATTATCCAGCCAGAAAATTCCAGCCTTATCTCGGTCCACAGTGATGTTCTCATTCTTCTACTCTCTCTGTTCCCCTTTCTCTCTGTCCTGGTGCTTCTGCTGTTCTTCCATTCTTCCGGTCCCCTGGCGACGAGTATTCACCGTGCTCTCGCAAATTTTCAATCGCATCAGTCATCGCGGCCGGTTTTGAATCGTTTCAAGCATTATCTGCATCTCGAAAAAGGTTCAAAGCACCGCTGCCAGATTCCGTCCTTTCAATTCGAGCCTGTGCGCTGTGCATCGCGTATCAACATTGCTATTCTTTTTCGAACGCTTACAGAACGTTGTACAGAACTGTACCCATTTCCTTTTAGTCTTCGCGTTTCCCTGTTTCATCCCTTTGCGGCCCTCCGCCAGACGCATCAAATTGGTGAAAAGGGAAAATCGACGAGGTGGGTCGAAATAACTTCGTTCGAGTTTCTGTAATCTTTTCGAACACGTTCGATTCGCGTACGGCATTCATCAACGTCCGTTTCTCTTGCGTTTTGCAGGTCCAGAAAACAGCTGGCCCGAGAAGGAAGGTCACCAACCATGGAATATAATTAGTACGCCACTTATGGACCGCCAGGCCGGCTATGGGTCCACAGAAAACATGCTCGCTACGTGGCACACACGGTGGAAGTACTTGGAAATCGGCCTTTGTGCGAACACGTGTGAACCCACGGACGACCGTGTTTCCTTCTTCAACGGGGCCTCCTTCCTTCCTCCTGCACGGCCACGAAAGGAACACTGGGAAATGGTCGATGGACGGTCGGAAAAACTTTCAAGGGGAACCAGCTTTTTTTCTTTTCTTTCTTTTTTTTCAGAAACGTTTGACACGTGAAGGCCTTCCTGTTGCTCCCTTTATCGGACCATCCAGTTTATTTAATCGCTGCAAGCAACGAGTCGTCATTTTCCGCGTATCGTGTATCGTTTGAAGGATGTAGCAATCGTGCGCGCGTATAATTATATAGCTTCGCGTTAAAGCATTTGCATCAGACGCAGATACATCGGTTCAATTCGCTTAATCATTGTCAGGGAGGTGGTTATATCCGCTCGTAATAGTTCCATATATAGGAATATTTTTCATAGCATTAACATACGCTATGAATATTTTTCATAGTCGACAGTTATTCGGAATACGATTATTTCCTTCTGATCGACGTCGGTCTGAAGAAGAGGAAAATGGATCCAATAGAAACCGTGTATATCCTTCGAGTCCTCCGAGGATGCAAATGGATTAACCATAGCGAAAGATCGTCCAAAGGTTTAAGAAACAACGAAAGATCGTCCAATTAACTTTCCGCCTTTTAATTGAATCTTATCCCCTTTCTCGCTCGGTTCGCCCAGTTTCATCGAGCTTCTCTCCAGTTAATCGTAAAAGTCAAAAGTTTGCTCGAGAGTAGCTTCGACAAAGGTAATTGAAATCTCGAGTACACGGGACGATTAATTGCGGCTGAGACGAGGAGCAGAACATTTCGGCGCACGGGCTCGGCTCGGTTTCTTCGACAGCTTGCAAATTGCCGCGTCGAGTGGCACCGCGAATATCGTGTAAACAGGGACCGTTGGCGAATGCTCGTCGAGACACGGGGTATTCTTTCAAATTTTTCAGACAATTCGTTCCACCGCTGGATGAGAACAAGCCTCTGCCGAAAGAAGAGGAAGAAGAGGAAGAAGAGGAAGAAGAGGAAGACGAAGCAATTCCTTCGGACGTCGAGACGAAGGTACCCAGGTATTCTTTTTAAGGCGGAACACTTTACTGCTGCTCGTTCCACGCTGGTAATGGAGAATCCCCCAGCCGCCCTGAGGAATTAATTCGGGGCTAACGCCGAGACACTCCCCGATATCGAGTCACTTTCCTCCCACGAAGCCGGCGTTAGTATCTCGCTCGCCACCCTCTCGGTTAACTTTTCACCGTACTCCCTTGGCCACTTGGACCCGGACCCGGAACCGACGTTTTTCTTCCTTTTTTGTCCCGTTCACTGGAACGATTTCTAATTTACCCTCTAATTTGCTCGTGATCCTCGGATCCGTTTAACTAGGTCATTTAAAACAGAACCAAAAAAAAAAAAGGAAGTTTCCGTTACCTCGTACATTAACCCTGGCCGTGTTTTTGGCCACGGTTTTCGCCATCAATTGTATCTTTAAGCGGTCGCGCTCTTTATTACCGAGAATCGTAATTTCCAAGATAAACAAACTCTTGGCGACGTTCCACGCGAATTAAGAGTGGCTCGGTATTGCGGAGCTTTTAATTAGCCTGAAAAAAAGAATCGCCCGGAAGTGGCGGCCTAAATTTTGCAGTTAAAGCTCGCCGCGTTCGAGTGTGCCGAATAGTGGCGCGATTACCGTACCGGTTGAAAAAGATTTATCGCTTAAGAAACCGTGTCGTCATTCAAAGTAGCGAGGAAATCGAGCGGAACGTACGTTTTTACAAGATTCTTGGCGCGGTTCCTAGTCCTACCACCCCTCCTGGCCTCCCTCCCATTCTATCGCTCGATTCCGAGAACATTTACACAGGAGAATATCCAGGTAACAAATACTTTCATTAATCAAGCGTTCGAGCAATTCGTCTGTTTCTCTGTGCAATTAGAAGCAAGCGGCATTTAACAATCCATCTTTCGCAAAGCGTATTTTTCTCCCCCTAGGGGTGACGCGGGAACGTCGAAGGAAGGGAATCGAAAAGGGGCATCGGCATCGTGGCCCAGGGTGTCGTCTCCTAGAGCATCTTTAGCAGCGGACGTACGAAGCGCGCGCAAAAGAGATGAACGCGAGGACGAGGGCGGCCAGCGTCGAGTGAGAGAGAATGAGAGGGGAAGAAACGACGACCGGGAAAGAGAGGGAAATTCAAAGATGGCGCCACGCATATACTCGTGAGAGAGAGAGAGGGGTGACGGGTTACGCGAGAGAGACGATGACTCTCCGCTTCCTTCCCCTCTCGCTTCAACCACGACTGACCGAGCTGAAAGGTCCGAATCCGATCGTCGAATGGTTCAGTAGTGCGCGAGACACATTTCGTGTAACGTGTTTCGCTTCCTCTCGCTATTGGCCGATGATTCACGAACGTTGCCGCAAAATTGACGGAGGATACACCGCGGACCAATCCCTGATTCCGTTACATCAGCATCCGACTCCGTGGGTCCTCGACGATTGGCTCTTTTCGCGGATGCGTTCGTTGATGTTTCATCCGTCGTCGTCTCGAGAGTGCTGCCCGCTAGTCTCATGTTTCCTGGTGTTATACTTTCGACCGGTATAACGTGCGAATCGAGTGTGTGTTCAATCGTGCTTCCTAGACGAGAGATTAGCGAGAGAAAGAAACCGGGGACGCGACGTACCCTACGTACCGGGCGATGAGCCCCAGGGAGAGAAAGAAAGGGCGAGGAGAGAAGGAGAGAAGACACACGGGGTATTTTGGACGCAGATCGATCAGCCGCAGCCGCTCTCCGGTTCGCGCCATGTGACCGGTCAAAGACCAGTCTGTACGGGATTGGAGGTTAGAAAATAAGATTTATCGAGGGACAGTGTCAGTAAAGCGCGAGCGAGCAACCGAAGTGGTGGTCATCGGTTCTCGTTCGGTAGTGTGTTCTTCGACGTGTTGTGCGGATGCCGGGGTTTGAAGTTCGGTCTAGAGGGGAAAGAGAGACTCCGGCTGCTGCGAATGTCGTTGTCTCGGGTCAGATGTAAAAATAAAAGGAAGCAGACATGTCTCAAGGCTATCGGACCGCATATTGTCTCGGCCAGGAGCGTAAAATCACGCGGTCGTCTCCCTGGCTATATCGTTCGTTCCTCGTTCCGTTGGATGGTACGCGCCCGCGCTCTTCTCTTCTCACCATTGTGTTGCACAATACGAATAATAACGTAACGCTGATTTAACGAAGTAACGCCGTTGCTTCGTACGATTCCTTGATAATGAGACAACGTAAACCGTGCCGGTTCGTTATCGTGAACGTTTAAACCTTCGCGTCTATTTTTACGGCGCGTCGATACAACGAACCGCTTAATTGCTCTGTTGATAAACCTTGCCCGACGCGTAGGACCTGTAATCGGTCGGGTTTTTGGTTCGTTTTTTGTACGAAACATGCTTTCAGCGAGTCTTTTTTGTTTCTCTCTTTGGGTGACGAAACAAAAGAACGAAAGAAAAAGGATCGTACGAGCCTGAAATTCTATAGGATATATCGAGTTTGTGTGTTGCGCTTGTATCGTTAGAACCGATGCATAGTTACAACTTTATCGAATGATCGATACCCGTGGAAGGTTAACGATTGCGTGCTTCAAACGTTTTTTTAATGTTTATTGTTTTTGTAAAATGCTTACAGAAGTTTGGTAGAAAAATGTTATCTTGTTTTGCATAGATTTTGAAGCACGTGTATGTCATAGTTTCACGGTGAACCACGTGTCTCCGTAGCGCTGCAGTAAATCTTCTGCGATGCTGGATCTTGGTCCATTTCTATAGAATAGATTTGCAAAATGTTTCGAAAACGTTTTGATGAATGTTAGTCTGTTATAGCAATGGAAAGCTCCCGTCGATAAGAAGAGTATAAGCTGAAAGCGACGTATTAAAAATTAATCCAACGATTAACGATTGGATGCAAGAACCGAGTGTATTAATTATAAAACAGTCTCGAAATGGTGGAATATCGGGAAGCTTTTAGTGGTTATATATCGTGCAGTTCATAGATAACGTACTTATCTAGGAAACCGAGATTTGCCTACAAAAACTTGGACTATTTTAGATTAATTTAAGCCGTTTTGAAAGTGTTGTGTAGGAGATATACCGCTTGTACAAAGTGCGTCTGGCATACCACGTAATCGAAAATACTTGTATTTTCGCAATTTAGAATCGTTCAAATCAACGAGAAAATTGAAGCCCGACGAGGTGGATAAAACTGGGTCACATTCGACTACTGATTTCTGAATTCACTGTCGTTGCAAAGTAACAACGTCGTTGAAATCGATATCAATTAAGCAAGGCTGATCGTACTTGCTGGAAACCCCATAAAGAGTAACCCCATTAACATGTTGACTGTCGTGAGGGTCACTGATGACAGGCGGTACAAATTTAATATTGCAAATTTAATTGAATAGTCGAAGAATAGACAAGAAATTTTTAATGAAACTTTAAGCAAAAACATTAAATTTGTGTTGCACAACATTAGGGGCAGTCAACGTGTTATCCATAGTTTCCAATATTCAGAAATTAAACACTACGTTTGTACATCTCTTGTAAGCATTGCAGACGAAAACTAGCGAGTCTGGACCAAGGTTAGAAGATAGCGCGTGTTGTATAATAGCTACACGAGCTTGATTCAGGGCCGTAAGTTACGAGCACGTGAGGGGCGACACGGTCTATTTTTATCTGCGGCTTGGATACGGAAAACGTAAAAGTGTGAAGATTCCAAGGATAGCAGAGTCTATTTGGAATGACAATTAACAGATCTGAATGACATTTTTGAGTAACGTCCAGTTTGAAATAATTATAGAGTATCTTATATTCCAAAAACCAACATTGTAAATGTAGTTCTTCATTAATCATCGAAGTCGTATCCGTGCTCGTAATTTTCTAATTGTTTTGAATAATGATGTGTAATCTCGATACACGATATACGTTGTGTGCAGTGGATATTATGTTGCACGAATTATTGTTAAGAAAATTGTAGAGCATTGATCAATTTTCTAAAGGGTGCCAAACTCCCGCGTTTACCGACGCGTCCCGTTAACAAAGCGAGCCGAATTTCATTCATAGATTTGACGGAAAAGGTGGAAAAGATCCACTGGTGTTTTCCATAAATGATGTAGTTTTATAAAAATGTGAAAAAATATGTCTTTTACCTCCGCGTCGCGTGGGGTTATCGAAGTCGCTTATCGGTATAGGAAAGCCGTTGGTTATTTACAGAGTAACCGATAATTCAGGTTACGTCTCACTTGGTCCGTTGTATTCTGGACGTTGAGTCACTGTCCATGACTCAAGGGGACAGAAATCTTGTTTGTCGAAAAGCGAAAGGCCTATTCGAACACGCTCAGTCGATATCTCTTTTACCGGTCGCGTTCCGAAGAGCTGCTGTTGTTGCAGCCTCACTGACAAAATATAGGAGATTAGCCGTGCTAACTCGGCACATTCTGTGTAATCGAGGCAAACATAAATTTCTTCTCCGATTAGATAAAATTACGCGATAAAATGCATTCCATTCAACATTGAGAGATACGGTCAATTACTCTTCCTCTATCAATACCGTCATTCATGGTAAAGGAGAAAAAAGAAAAAAATGCGGCCGAAGGGTAGATAGGAATATTTTTTCTTGTTGGTTTTAGGATCGATGGCAGTCGTAGACCTTCGTAAACGTATTCCAGGGAATTCGGTGAAGTTTTTTGGTAGCTTGGTGAAGAGGTTTCGTGCCCAAAGCCCCTTATCATTCTCCTGTCCGGTGTAGAATTTTTAGACGACTGGACGGAGAACTGATAAGGGCCCGAGGGTTACAGAATCATCGTGGGACTTGGCATACTGCTAGATGCAAATTCAAGATGGTGGGATTTTTAATAGAAACAATACATTATACTCTTACAGCTCTTTGTAATGTTTTACCGTATAATAAAAATCTGAAATATATCATTACTTAGTCTTATAAATTAAAAAAAAAGGATAGAAACGCTATTACAAAATATTTTCTTTTATTATAATAAATAAATAGTAAAAGATCCTCTTCACAGATATACGTACACGTAATTGTGCTGTATCTTCCTTTATGTGAAAACATATTTTAACAATGTTCAATCAACAATTATTCTTGTCTTTTCTTCACTTGAGCAAATTTTTAGAACGTTGTATTTACGTTGTATTGCTTTTCGACGCGCTTTGTTCTAGCTCGTAATTAGGATTTAATTGAATTATTTGTCTAGGATTATCAATTTTTCTAGGTGAATTTTGAACGATCAAAATCGGCTTCGTTTCTTCCTTCTCCAAAAGCTGTCCCATTCCCATAATTTTGAGCGCAGGTACTGTCTTAATTAATGCTGCATTGGAAACTGATAGGTTTGTATTGCAGTCCATTCTCGGGAAAATGACAGGGTTCTTTGAGTGCGTCATTGACAGTTTTTTCTTTGGCATGATAGGCACTTCGGAAGAAGAAAATGCCGTTCGTTTCATCGAAGTTCCTGTTGAAGCCGAATTATTTATTGTGTCTGAGTTTAATGATATTATTTTAGGGCCGAGTATTATACCATTTCCTGTAAAATACATCATTATAAATATATATAATAAATAAAATTAAAAGTAAACTGACGTTTTATATCAGTTACATTACCTTTCTGCATCGCCCTGGTAACGGGACAATCTTTATGAGCTAATAAAAGTGTTTTCAACTTGGCAACTTCTGAACGCAAGACCTTTATTTCCATTTGCAAAGCTACGTTTGTCTCATTCACGTTGGCGACCGTCCTCTGGAGCTGTTGTATCCACGCTTTCCTTTTCGCCCTTGCCCGCATTGAACTCGCACGATTACGTTCAAGAATCTGATTCTTTTTCACGTGGTCCTCCATCGTTTTACTTCGATTCTCTTTTTTTAAACTATTTAACTCATTATTCTTCCCAGAATTATTGTTCGATTTCAAATGTTGCAATTCGGTACTTTTTGTTAGAGTCTGTTTCAATTTCTGTAATGATATATGAAATATAAATCTAAACTTAATCGAATTAAGTTAAATTTCAATTAGAAACGTTTGTGTCCATACAATAAAATACCATTTTTGCTAAAGTTAGCGTAGAAACCGTGGATTTTTTAGCCTCTACTTTTCCAGTACATTGTAAAGGTGGGTCTGTCTTTATAACAACTGTTTGCTGTTTTAAAGATTGCGCGGTATTCGCGTAAATCGAATCGCAAATTGGTATCGCCGATAGTTGCATTAATTTTCCATCAGACGTTTTTAATAGTAGCTGCACTTCTTCGCCATTTATTGATCTATATAAAAATTTTGTTATTTTTACAATAATTTCAAAATGCATTATCGGCCGCCAAAGTCCGAATTGATCTTGGGGGATCTCTTGCGGAGAAGCCGAAAAACTCGGAACATGGGTAGACACATCCTTGTCTCTCTTGTATGCTCTTGCCTCGGAGAGACAAGGATAGTTTGTGTTTCAATTCTACTCCGCTAGAGAAGCTAGTGGTCATTTCTATTGAAGCTTAAGTTACTTACAATTGTGGAGTTTGGTCTTGTAAAAGTTTTGACATTATTGGCGTATGTGTAACTTGATCAATAATACTTTCTGTTAATGTTACACTTCTGTCAACAGTTAGCTTGTCTTTCATTAGACTCTGCTCATCTGTTTCTGAGAGTTTTACACTAGTACAAACCTCAGAATCAATTACTGATTTTTCTGATGCACTTTTTTCAATAATGGAAATACTATTACATTCTTGCACAGTATTTTCAGAGAGCATTTGATTACTTGTAGATAGTACATCTGCTATATGGGGAAATATATGTGGTGTATGCAATGTATCGTCTGTGATTCCAGCCTAGAACAATATTCATTTACACAATAATAGCTTTTAACAAAAGGCTTATATTGTTCTTAATTAATATTTTACCTCTGGCACTGTAAGGGAACCAGTATTCCCTGATTCCACAGCTCGCCTGAATGTTTCTTCGAATGGATTGACATTTTGTAAATCTTGAAACAACCCAACTTCTTCACAGTTCCTAATGAACCTGGTTGGTGTTGGTGTTTGATCAGCTGCATATTTAATAAAAAAAGGATCCCTTATCTGTACTTCAATGCAGTCTAACTATTATAAAGTTTTGATCAAAGGTAATTCTTACCAACAAACCCTCCATTCTTAGAACTGCTTCCCAGATTTAACATCATATCATGCTTTTTTTTGTGCACTGTTAATTGATCCTCATTTGTGAAACTCTGATATAATAAAGAAAAACTATTTAAATAACCAAAGACTTATGCCATACTCCTCCTAATAGAATATGAAATAATAAATGGAAAAAGAAACAAATTTCTAAAACAACTGAGTAAATGGAGTACCTGACAGTAAAGGTACGTACCATGTTGCAATCAGATGAGGAACAGACAAACATTTTTTCATTATTTGCCATTGTTAACTAGAGTTACTATAACTATTATGATACTAATTCACAGGTGGCCAAATGTAAAATGAAAACAAAGCTGAAAACCCTTATAATAGGGCACAATCAATCGAAATTCAGTATTTTCTAAGAGTCCCCTTTTTCGGTAATACATTTTCCACTTAAGAATTAATTGTTTAACACTCCTGAGTTACCTGATATCAAATAGATAAAAAATAAGTAGTAAATATACGTTATTAGATTTTGTCACTTCGCTTCGAATCAGCTGTTTCTACGGTTAAATCACAGACGAGTTGTGAAATAGATCAATCACCTCATAGAAGTTTTTCTCACACGACCTGAAATACCGACATCTGGTTAAAATACATTGAGGGAAGGCTGAGCATCCGTGAAGATATGACAAATATATAATTAAATATATCCCCAATATTACATATAGTATTTTATAAGTTTGATTTAGGTTTAAATCTTTATTAAATCGACCGCTTTCTGGCGGTCGGCAACATTTTTAGGTCTTATTTTTGAGTCGCCGAAAATCTTTCTCACAAATATTGTTTGTATGTAAAATGAAGCTATCTACAAAATTTCAGCCAAACCCAATCTCGTAGGTTTTCCAAAATTTAATCATGTGAAATTATAAAATATATAAAAATAAGTCTCGAATTGTATTTTTAATTTAATAAATTAATTTACAGGATATTGTAACTGCACGTCGGAAATTTGAAGACACGATGAAGCTTAAAGAAGTTGGGGTCTCCACGATCGCAAAATGGCACACGGGTAGTAAGAATTATCAAGAAATATAATAAAAAATATTCGTTGCGAACAATCGCACTATATAACTATGGCGTCGGCTTATATTAAAGATGAACAAGGTAATAAAATTCGTTTTATTTAAATATTTCAATTATTAAAATTATTATACTATTTATAACCTTTAAGATGTAAACAACTAATACTATCCAAAATATGTGCTATATTCTAATATTGAATTAACTTGAAATCATAGTTAAATACTAAATTCTTCTAAGCAGCATTGAATTGTAAATTTAATGTAATTCACTGAAGTTACAAAATGAAGGTACTCAAATAATATACTCATGTTAATTCATAAAATTCATTTTTTTATTTTACAAATATTTACAGGTGGAACATTCATTCCTGCCAGTCAACGTCCAGATGGCACATGGCGTAAGCCACGCCGTGTGAAGGATGGTTATATACCACAAGAAGAAGTTCCATTGTACACAATAATTTATAGCACAACTTTATTAATCCTAGATTTGTAATACGTAATATGATTATTCCCCTTTTAGGTATGAAAGTAAAGGTAAACAAATCAAAAATAAACCTATGTATCCAATAGGTGCAAGTCCAGAATTTATAGCAGAGCACAAAGCTAAACAGGAAGCATTATTAGCAGCAAAATCTAAAGCAATTCCTGGTGCGCAAGTTAAAACAGAAGTCAAGAAGAAAAAGAAAAAGAATAAACATAAAACAACTGAACATGTAACAGAGGAATTGGCCAAAACTACCATCTCAGAACCAGAACAAAAGAAAGAATCATTGCCACAAAATAATAAACCACACATCAATACTAAATCAGTACCAAACAGTCAAACTTCATCATCAAAATCAAATATGCTAAATCAGTCTGAAACTTCAGTATCAGATCCACAGAAAAGATTAAAAAATCTAAGGAAAAAGGTTAGAGAGATTGAAACTTTGGAAGAGAAAATAAAGTCTGGATTATTAAAGAATCCAGAAAAAGACATACTTGACAAATTAGCAAGGAAAGCTGAGATTTCAAAAGAAATAAAGAGATTAGAAGCAAGTCAATAGGAGAAAGAAAATGAAAAGGCTTTATTTACATACCTCAGTGAATCATCACTTCGTAGTAGTATGTAAACAAATGTTTTTCAAATTTTAAAAAATTTTATTACATTCATATGTAATGTCACACTTTTATCCTGTTTATACAGTAAATGAATGGCAATATAAAAATATACATTTATATATAAAAATTAAATTGAATACCAATGAATATAGTATACTCTACTCGACACTTGTGAAAGACCAATCAAATTTGAATAAAAATTGTTTTTGCATATTATATGTTGGTATTTATGTTTTCGAAAATAAATATCATATCGATAAGAACAAACTTTATTTATACTTTGTTCTGTTCGTACAGTGCAATACATGTTATTCGTTCAACGAGAGAACATATTTGTTTCGTGCAGCTCAGGGAGGTCTACTGTTACCTTAACTTCGTGGACATATACAGGGAGATAAAAATATATGAATAGAGGAAGCAAGTGATAACGTCGAAGAGTATATTAAAATATAAGACCCTCGTTAAAAGAATAATACATGTTTTATTTAAATAAAATTCGGTTTAAATGCTAGGGACTTTGTATTGCGAACACACTGATTAGTACTATCTTCTCATCAGCTGATAAAGTTCCCAATGGTAGTATTTCCATAGTTGCATTTACTGTATATAATCAATGATATAATGCAGTTGTGTATTCAGTATTGTATACTTGCATATAATTTGTAGAATGTAAATAATTCGCATAAATGTTTCGGTAGCTTTTATCCTTATTACATTTATCTATGTACTTGAAAGGCTCTGATTTTTATTTAGTACTATATTGTGTATAGTCAAAATGATATGCAGTGGAATCCAATCGACAAAAAGATCGAGGAGCAGATTGAAGGGGACATTTATCGGTTGACTATCCATGAATAAACAATTAATGAAATCGAATTAAATAAAATTCGATGCCTCTCGGCAGCAAACCTGAATGTGTCAAGTGTGGGACTCGTGAGACCCCGCTTTGGCACTCAACCGAAGCCGGTAACCTTTGTAATACTTGTCTTGAAGATGAGAGAAATTCAGAAGTAAATTTAAATCCAAAAAATGAAGAGGAAGATAAAGGAGGATCGCTTAAACCTACTAGAAGAAGTACAAGAATAACAAGATATTGCAATTCAAAACCAATTTCGCACAAAATTGTGCCTAAAGGAAAAGGACGAAGGAATTTATTCAAAAAAACTGTACGTTCAATCATTGTTTCAATAGTTGAAAGGTAACACTATACATTATTTTTCTTTTTCTTTTTTAGCCAGTGAAAGCACCAACTGCTACAGCAACTCCAGTCACAAGTAATTATGTGTTTTATAAAGGCACTTACTTTCAAGTGGGTGATGTAGTTTCTATGCAAGATATTGATGGTGGAATTTATTATGCACAAATTCGTGGTTTACTCACAGATCAGTACTGCGAAAAAAGTGCTGCTGTTACTTGGCTTCTTCCTACTACAGCAAGGTAGTATATCAGACCATACATTAAAGTATTCATAAATCAATTTATTCATCATACGTACTTTGTATTTAGCCCACCGCCTGATGAAGGGTTCAGTCCTGAGACATACATTATAGGTCCAGAGGAAGATCTTCCACGTAAATTGGAATGCATGGAATTTGTAATGCATGCTCCATCAGATTATTATAAACTAAAAAATACACCATATCCACCATCGCTTACAGAAAGAGGCACTGGATACATATGGACTACGCTTAGAAATGAAATTTCTACATTTAAAAAGTAAATTTAATTTTATGAAATATTTATTTTAAGTCTCTTTTTAATCTTTCTGTTTAATTTCATTAAAATATACAAATTTCGTTTGAACCAATAATCTACAACTGATTAAAATGCACCTAAATTTGTCTGATACCTCTTTAAAAATAAAAACTGTTATATGTTACTATAATGTTTATTACATATTTCTTTGATACAATATAACATTATTTAATATCTTTAATAACTGGATGGAAATGTTCACAAATGAGATAACATTAAATATACTGCTTTGGATATAGCAATGAAAATGCACTTTTATGGTTTATACTACAATGGTAATATTTATTATTTTTTTTTAATATATAGAAATAATATTGCATCTTTCATAAAATATTAGTATTTTTAAAATCATGAAGTAGTTTTACTTTTCTCTTTACATAATAAGAGTTAATAGTTTGAAACATTTTAGATCCTTGTTCTTAAAATCAAATATATTTTGTTAATCTTCACAATAGGAGCCCTTGTCACTTTGTACATGGTTCTTATAAGTCATAAGAACCAATATAATCTTCACGTTTAATTCTGGTACTGTTGAGATGTAATACATGAAGAGTTTGTAGGCAGTATTGGTGCATTCTCATTTGTTTGAAGAGGGGAGAAAAAAACCCTTGTGGTGTCACTTGTATTTGGAATTGTAGGTGAAATCAGTCAGCTTGGAGCCAACGACGTAACGGCTGGTCAGAATTTGAGATCTTTTATGGCCTGTGGCAGATCAGGCAACTTCATATCCTTTATCTGCTGTGGTATATTCATATTCTTGACAGCAGAAACAGCTCGCGCCGGCGCTGCTGTGATTCCTGCCTGCACATACCATATGGATGGAAAAAATGGAAAACGGATCAATTTAAAGGATTTTTTTTTTAAACTTAAATTTATTAGTAATAGAAGTAAAGACAAATGAGTAGCTACGCAATACATATTTTATTTCTTAGAGCATGGCGACGTATACATTTGCATTAAGGCACTGTTACCGAGCAGACATTTACAAACAATAGCACCATCATGCGTGTTATGAGTATTTATTTTGTAAAACTAAGAAAGATTTATGTTTTGAGATTCTTGGTGAAAAAAAAGAAATCACAGATAAATTGTATAAAGGAATGAAAGTGTACAAAATGATTTGATTTTTTTTTTTTTTTACTGCCGATTTACTTTAGGGAGGGGGCCACCGAAGGACTAACGGACGAGGTGAGCTAGATCGTCCCGATTTGTAAGTTCCCTAGAATTCATGTTAGGTCAATCAGTCCTACCACCATATGAAATTGCTCTACAAAACATTCCAAAGCATGCATAGCTAACGAATAAACTGCTATAGGCTGTAAACTTCTTCAAGCCCAGAAAACTATTTTTTAATAAAATTGCAAATACTATTTTATATGTAACTAAGGTTTTATAAATATATTCTCACTACTCTATAACTTAAATATAAGTAGAATTAGAATAGGCCCAAAATGTTAAGAGATGTTTGCATAAATTAGTTATCACAACTGTGATTTAGTGAGTTAAACTTTATCACAGTGCATTGTTATACCACATAAAACATTTGTTATCTTGAATATCCACAAATTATACAACTAAAGCTTAAACATACAATATGGATTTTCAGTTTTTGTTATTTATAAAATACTACTTACCTCTTGTTTCTCCAATTTATTTTGGTCTTCAATTCGTGTCAGTATTTCAGTCATATTAGTTTCAAGGACCATTCCACCCATCACTAATTCATTAAGTATGTAATGAACTTTATCTACATGGAAGATTAAATCAAGTTCGCATACGTTTTCAAAACATTTATCCAATGTTTCAACAAAAACTTGTATTAGATCTAATATTCCTAATTCTGATTCTGAACTATCCACACAGAATACAAAATATAAAGTTGCATAATGTCGATAAATCAACTTATAATCAGAACCACCAATTAAACTTCCACCTTCCAGAAAATTACAAACATTATCATCTCTTTTGGAAACTAACTGAAATGTTTCTTTTATTATTTGTTGTTGCATATCTTCATTCTAAAGAAAAAGAAAAGGACATTTTCTATTGAATTTTATAATGAACAATGATAATTAAATATAATTATTTTTATATACTTACAAAGTATTGGTAAAATTTTGAAAGTCTAGGCTTTCCATGATTATTGAATACCAATATTGCCTTAATCATGACTAATGATTAATCAACAAACTGAGTTTCAACTGTACTATGTAAACAATACGTACTCATCTGTATGCATAAAGGTTAAAATTTGAAATATTAGTAAGATTTAATGCGATAAGAATGTAATTAATTCTTAAACATTGCATTCTCTAAAGAATTATAACTGTGTAAGTTAATAAAACATGTATTTCATTTTACAATTGTTGAAGTATAAACTTAAACTTTCCATAAATTTTGTAGTGTCTTCTTTTTAGCTTCATTAAACAGTAACAGTAACTAAACACTAAACAGTATTAATTTTAGGTCAAAACTAATAGTAATGTTACACAATTGTTTTCAAAAAATATAACTTCACAAATATAAATTATAGTAATGAAATACAACGAACTAAAACCACCATCAGGTACAGTTTTTCTATGTGATTGTTCGTCTGAATAGAATGCACTACGTTATCATCCAATGAACTGTGACTACAGATACCAGAAAGACTGAACATGTATTTATTGTCGAGGAATTATAATGTTGGGGGTCCCAGATAACCCCGAGGTGAGGTTAGATTTACATGTACTTCTTGAGCACGCTCGGCGTCTTTCTAGGGAAAATTATGGTCAAAGCCAGTGGAAAGGAAGGTTTCCCAATCATAGGGTATGATACCTTGAACCAGCAGGCATTTTCTAAGTTTATTTAATTTGCCTTATTTATTTTCTTAGCATATTAAACAAGTTCATAAGAAAAATAAAATTTATGATCTTAGCCTTTTTGCGCGTCTCAGCTCAGCATCCCTTTTATTTATTATTCTATCCCTCCTTATAGGCCTCGTGTGGATCCCTGTATCACTGCATCCTTATATACTTAAATCCCTGAATTCTTTGCAACTCTCTACCCCTTAGATCCCTGTATTCCTTACATCACTGTATTCTTTATATCCCTGTATCACTTATATCCATGTATCCCTTTTTTACCCCCTGTGGCTCGGGGGGCTTAGAATACGGCCACGGTATCCCCTGCCTGTCGTAAGAGGCGACTAAAAGGGGGATATAAAGGAGCGAGTAAGATGAGTGGACTTAAAAGTACAGAAAGAGTGTGAGATTTAAAAGTACGGACAAGTATGAGTGGAATTAAAAGTACAGAAGCATATAACATAAATAATGTAATTGAAAATGCCGCGATAATGCGTGTGGCCTATAACTTTTCGTTGGGCAAAAAGGGATAGATACAAGTCCCTAGATTACGCCACCCTCAATAGAGGGAAACTTATGAAGTGAAGTGAAGTGTATCCCTTATATCTCTGTGTTTGTGGTATTTCTCAATTTCCTTTCTCAATTATACGTATAATTTTTGCTATATGGCGCTACTTGTATTTCCATAAATTCGGCGGGGTTTTTGTGTCCCCTGGTGATCAAAATTGGAACTAAATCTCGCACGAGTTTTGCGCCATCCAGCAGAAGAAATTGAAACTAAATTCTGCATGAATGTTGCGCCCCCCCGACGCAGAAATCGGAACTAAATTCGGCGTGAATTTTGCGCTCTCTGGCGGCAGAAATTGGAACTAAATGAATGTACAATTATTTCGTTTGATAAAAATGAATAAAAATGATGATCGTGGTGGCAGGTTCTTGGTCAACGGTGGCGACCTTCTTTATCGATGTATCTTTTTTAACGACACCTATAACCGCTACACTATTTTGGATGTGTTTTGAAAATAAAGAAATGGAATTTCTAATATAGAAATTGCATTGTTTCTCCATTGTATGTATGAAAACTTTATAAGAGAAAGAATTACCAGTCAGTATGGCGGGTACTACCTGTGCATATCTGTATTAATACTAATACTAAGAAATGTGCATTACATTAAAGTTAATATGAAAATTAGTTCCATGTCAGTGTATGGATAGACTGAAAATAGAGATCTCTAATAACACTTGCGGATGAAAGCAGATCATCTATATAATATAATTAATGAACTTGTAGTTAATTGGACGCGAAGGTTTTATCTCACCGGACAATAATTGCACATCCGTGGGATTCTCCGTGTTGTAGAACGAGTAGATCTCCAAAAATGCGATGTTCGTGAGAACGGCAGCGGCAACGACGTGAAACAACATTATTGGAAATTGCAACGCGAGAAAACTAACGTTTTCACCAACAGCACTGTGGTTATAACCCAGGCCCCACTGTCTCATGGGAGGTCGAAAGTTCACACGATAAGAGCTTTAGCGAAACTGATCAAAGTCACGCCATCGCTTCTTTTCTATTCCATTCGAATTTTCTTGCATCTTCTCGATCCTTTACGATTACCTTCTCTAATTATCTATGCAGTTATTATCGGTGGAAGAGAAAAAAAATCAGTTGATCAAGTTTGAGGTTTAGATCTGTATCAAGAAGTAAAAAAACCAAATTATGTTATAGATTTAATTTTATTCATCAAAATAAAGAATGAACATCAATGTTTGATGTTTTTTCGAAGAATTTCAGCTTCCTCTGGCACGAATTCCCGAAAAGTGTCCTCTGTAAAAGATTTTCCTTCTTGTCTTAATTGCAAAAGTTCCTGAAACGTGACCCAGTCTGGGTTATTTTCTCGTTCAATGCCTTTTCCTTCTAATAAAACATGCAGAAGACCTTTGGTTTTGTCTTTTCCTAGCATATAATTCTGATAATATAAGCATTCTATGAATTCTGGCAGAGTCGTCTTTGACAAATAATTATCTAAGTAAAAATGTTTAATTTAACATTTCATAAAATAAAAAATTAATTAGGAACACTTACAGCTTAAGTCTAAGTATTGTAATTCAAGATTTCCAGTTGCAAATATATTTCCATTTATTGGGAAACTTTCATTTTGAAAGGGATGACATTTGTTACTTCCATAAATTATTTCCTTTCTCTGAAAATATTAATAATTAATAACCAGTAATTATGGAATATTTAAAATTTGAAGACTTACTCGTGTAGGTTCAGAAGCCTGATATAAACTTTCGTCGTCTCCAATTTTGACCAAGGAACCGGGGTGTACTAAAAATGACTTAATTAATTAAAATTTAAGAAAAAAGCTTTATTTGCATAAATTATATACATCTTTTAGATCTTCTAGTTAGACTGTGTCGTATTCGTGATTTACTGCTTTTTCTCGACTGTTCTTCGTATATCGATTTGTCAGTTTCCTCGTCTTTCTCTTTTTCCATCTATTTAATTAATTACAATTATATTTCTTGAAAGAGTTTAATTTTTTATATGCATCTAATTACCAATTGATCGAGCAATGTTAATTCAGCAAAGTTTCTCCGACGATTATCCATAATTTCTTCATGAGTTAAAGCCGTTCTAAGATTATTAATTATTACTATTAATGAATTGTATTTGGAACACAAGTAAAACAATTAGTTTTCTTACATTTTTAGTTTCTGTAGGATCATCGATGCTCCCTCATCGCATATTCTGTTTCCAAGTAAAACCAGACACTTTAAAGATCTGTAAAAGTGGAAGGTTAATTTAATTTAATTATTGTAATCAGGATTATGAAATTCTGATTAATTAAAATAATTTGCCTGTTCGTACGAAGCATACTACCAATATGGAGTGCTCCATCCTTTGTAATATGATTATTAGCTAGGTTTAAAATACTTAATTTAGGCTCATTAGGTGCATCTTGGTACTTTAATTCATTCATGATTCTCTTTACTCCATCGTCAGATATTTTACAAAGGTTTAGGGACAAGTACCATAAACTAAAACATAATCTCTCATCAAAATACACCTGAAAGATGAAATTTTAGGAAAAGCTTACTTTCCACCAGGTGCACACAGTAAATGAAAATTTTCCTGAGGATTTGGATTCATATCCAAGTTCAAATCTTGCACACATCCAATTGTCATTAACATTTCTGCAATTAGCACGATGCCAAATGCATTTATTTTACAATCTGGCAATCTATTGGAAAAATTATACCATGTTGAAAATGTGCAACCCTTTCTCTTATAGAAAATTTTTGTATAATTTACTCGAGAACAGTGATGGTGTTAAATTTCTGCATGGTGGAATTCAGTGCATCCAAAATGCAGATTGATACTTCACGACGTAAAAAGAAACGAACCAATTAATTCAAATAATCACAATAAAAGAAGTAATTTATTTCAATACTCATCTTTACTCTCAATTTCCTTCACAGCATCTAACTTTTTCTTCTCGTATGTTAAATAAAAAATAGGAGATTCATCGTCTTCGACGCTTGAAATGTAAAGTAATTTAAATATTCCAAATAATTTTTTACTAAAGAAGGATTACCTTGCAACGTGAAAGTCCGCGATACTTTTTATCTAACAACAATTTCAGACTTGAGAAATGAATTTTAATTAAACGTAGAATATAAACTCACTATAATTTTAGGTAATGGATCGACATTGTACTCTTCTGAGTATTTTAAAAATTCGGTAGCAAAATTGTCTTGGACACTTCTTGCAGTGGTTGGTTTATCACGAACCGATGCACTATACTTGCTCCTTTTATCAACCATGATTTCCTTTTAATAGTTTTCTGAAGAAGCTATAAGAATTCCTCCATAAATTACAGAGGTTATCAGAAACCATTGGATAATTGAACATCATACTTTACCAAAAGAGAAACACTTCATTTCCCTTAAACACCTATGGTACACTATAACAGTTTGCTTGCTTACTTTTCCATGAATCGATTTATGAACGTCGAAACAAGGAAACATTACACGAGTCCAGCAATAAATCCATAAAACCTGGCGCCTTCGGGTCCCATAGATGTCCAGGATACCCTCTCGTAAACCACCCACCCCCATGGTGGTTGTAATCCGACGCCAAGAGAATGCCAGCGCGACATCCCCCACGGATGAAACAGGGAAAAGCCTTTGGAGAAAAGTATCGACCGATTCTTGGTACCGTGAGCAACAACAAAGGGCCCTGACATCATGCTTTAATGGGGTGTGTCGGGATTTTATGGGATTAAAGTCGTAATCGCGAGTCTTTCGTTAAAAGGGTGATTACTGTAATGGTTTGTATTCGTGTCTAAGTAATGACAACGTTAATTACCATTTTTGGGGATGTATTTTAATATTTTCACGTGTCAATTATTATTTTGTTAAACGATTTAAAAATTCGAACTAATAATCGATGGAAAATTCATCAGGAAATCACGCGTCGCGCCATCGAGTCTCGCGTTCAGCTCTCCCGTTGCATTATAGCGGCGATCTCGACCGGCTTCGGCTTCAGTTCGGTTCGGCGCTTTGACCGCGCAACTCCGCGTCCAGGAAGCCACGCGTTTTCGATCGCGAGTGCGTGTCAGAAGCTCGCTAAAACAGATTCGTACTCGTGTTTGATCGAATTCCATTAGTAATTAACTCTGTCGTCAAGTGTGAACACTTCGATTTCGTTTTACGTGGTTTTGGACTACAGTAGGTGATTCGAGGTGGGTGGAAATTTTATTTAGCCTTTTTTCGAGTATCCTAAAAATTATTATATATAAAACAGGCGTTACGGAAATTAATCTTCAATAGAAGATTAATTTATTATCGTTGATAATGAATAAATTTTTGTTTTACAATTCCTCCTTGATTTAGAGTATTTATTGAAACAATTAAGGGGTACATAGTCTTTCGATGAAGAACAGATGCTGTACGTGTTTCTATATAATAAAAAAACTATTTTAATTTTGATATTCTATTAATTTATTATCGTTGATAATGAATAAATTTTTGTTTTACAATTCCTCCTTGATTTAGAGTATTTATTGAAACAATTAAGAGGTACATAATCTTTCGATGAAGAACAGGTGCTGCATATGTTTCTATATAATAAAAAAACTATTTTAATTTTGATATTCTATTAATTTATTATCGTTGATAATGAATAAATGTTTGTTTTACAATTCCTCTTTGATTTAGAGTATTTATTGAAACAATTAAGAGGTACATAATCTTTCGATGAAGAACAGGTGCTGCATATGTTTCTATATAATAAAAAAACTATTTTAATTTTGATATTCTATTAATTTATTATCGTTGATAATGAATAAATTTTTGTTTTACAATTCCTCCTTGATTTGGAGTATTTATTGAAACAATTAAGGGATACATAGTCTTTCGATGAAGAACAGGTGCTACATGTGTATCTATATAATAAAAAAACAATTTTAATGGAATTTTGATATTCTAATAGTATAGAAACATTCTGTCACGTCTTTCCATTCGATTTATCGTCGATGCCATTCTCGATCCGTGAAAGGAGTCGCGGGCAAAGCGAAAAAAGGAGGAAGAAACCGGCACGACGCGTCGTCCATTTAAATGAGACCAATTAGCGAGCGGAAGCGGAGGAACGGGGCGATCGCGCCCCATGGAAACCATAGAAACTCGAATTTACGAAGTGAGGAAGCGAGAAGATCGTCGGACCGAGCGGGCGAAACGCGAAATTAATGCGAAACGCGGTCTTCGAAGGAGTCGAGCTTTTGTGCCGTTTATTCTTTTTTATTTCTGCGCACGTGAACCAGCCCAGGCCAATTGCATTAATTTACGACTGTTTACATCATCAGGCCGGGGTGTGCCATAAAGCCACGGACCCACCACCATGAATTATGCATCGCAGGGTGGTTTCGGCTTGCCTCCTTCCTTTTTTTCTTTCTTTCAAGATCACTCGCAAGAAATGCGCGCACGGCTTTCTGTTGCATCACGACTCGACGAAATCGTTCTCCGATCGGGACCCATGGAAAAAGGGAAATAAGAAATTCGCTGTTTCCTATGGTTAAAAGATGTTTCGGTGTTTCTTCCCGTTCGTCCCTCCGGGGAGTAAAATACTACAGGTTGATCGCCATAGTAACAATTAAGAAGGATAAAACCTGGTACACATGTTTCTCTTTACGTTTCATTCGCATTTCTTTTTGAACGCCCAGCTGTTGAATTAAAACAAATTACGTTTTAACAAAAGCGACTGGGTGACAATTAATTAATCATTCCACCGTCCAGTGGTTCGTTTTTGTCCGTCTGCTTCTCATTTTATTAAAATCTCCTCGAACACAATACAGTATTCTTTGAAAATTCCCTCAATAAGCAGTTCGGTATATTCTGGGTCAGTGAAATAAGATAACGAAGTGGAAAGGATTCGCGTAACGGTGTCGAATGTTTCAGTGAAACCTAATTTGCAAAATCAAGCGAAAGGAATATCGTTACGGCAAGTGTTCGATTGCGATTACGATAAATAATTTCTCGTTCATTGCGATATCTTCTGCAAAGTCCCACGCGTTTGTTTCTGTTCGGTTTTTCGTTTAATAGAGCCTGGTTCTTGCGGTTCGCCAGACGGCCGTAAACCTCGAAACTCAAAGATCTGGTTACGATCTGGTAAGCCACCATGGGCTCTGGCCCATGGGGACGATACTGCAATTGCGAACGCCTATGACAGTTATTACGTGGCGAACGAAACGGTCCGCGAAGGTATTTCTACGATGTAATAACGCCACGTCCGAGCAGGGACACGTTCTCACGGACACCGAGGCTATATAATTCATTGCTAGTGCTAAAACGTTGAATTCGTATGCGAACAAGTCCCAGGACTTTTTCGTCTCGTCCAACAGGACGAGACGAGACGATCGCGAAGGCCGACAATTTTATGCTATGATTGTTGAAGTTCTGTTAGGGTGACTAGTAAAGCTTTTCTTCTGTTTCAAATTAAAATAAAAATTAATTTATATCCTAATTTATTCCTAGTTATGTCCTAGTTCTAATTATGTCCTAGTTCTAATTATATTTTAGTTCTAATTATGTCCTAGTTCTAATTACGTCCTAGTTCTAATTATGTCCTAGTTCGATAACTAGAATTTCTAACAGAATAGAGTTTAACCCTTTACCTGCTGAGTACTACAGGTGTATGAAATAAGAATTAGGTCAATGACTCTTATAATTTTTCTTTTCTATTTCACTTCATTTCTCAATTTATTTTTTCATTATAATCTGATAACATATGGTGTGTAATTAGTAATATGCATTGATAAGTTTTATTTGTTTATGATTAAGATACACTAGAAACGAATTATGTACGCATATGTGCGCCCATAATTAGAACTGATAGCTTTCACCTGACGCATATGTGCTTTCATAGTATACAAAGGGTTAAAAATGTCTGGAAAAAATTATTTGAACTATTTGATTTGAACGGCGTTTGAAATAAATGATAAAAATGTAATCAATACCCAATGTACCAGTAAATGAACAAATAGAAAAATATTTCATTTTGCAACTAGAAAATGCTGATAATTAATATTCGACACCATACATTTTTAAATTATTTATTTACTCTTTATTTATTATTTATTTGAGCTTTTCTTGCTTTCAATTGATTTGCCTCTTCTTTTCTTTCTGTGCCTATTTTTGATTGCTTAGCTACTGAAAGTAATATTTTTGTTGTACACGAAAAAAGTCAATTTGTTCATTCACTGGTTAAGTCACCCTATACTTGATTTGGTAAAGGGTGTCGAGTGTAGCTTTACGCGAATATTTTCGAAATTAGATTTTAGACTAACAAGGGGAACTACCCAAGTGTTACACTCACTTATTAATGAAACTTTGCCAGCTTGTAGAGCTCGTCGAGATGAACACGCCTATATCCCGTTTTGTGGGCAGACGGCTAATTGTTTAAAAGATATTAACACTTACAGTTAGTTACTACTTACATTGAAAAGTATGACAGATACAACTCACACATACAACTCGCAATCTAGAGATCCACGGTTCAAATTCTTTATTCCCAACATTTTTTTTTTTTTTTAATGATAATTTGTCTCTTTTTGAATAACTATTACATAAAAATTATCATAAAAAAAAAAAAATTATTTTTGGGAACCAAGGATTTGAACTAAGGACGTTCAGATTGCAAGTCACGGATCTGCTCCGTGGTTAAACACATGACTGGTAACGTAAAGATCCTCGGTTCAAATCCTGGGTTCCTGTTTTTTTTTTTTTTTTAATGTAATAGTTATTCAAAAAGAGACAAATTATGATTAAAAAAAAAATGTTATGAACCAAGGATTTGAACCATGGATCTCTAGATTGCGAGTTGTTTGTATGAATCTGTCATACTTCTCAATGTAAGTAGTAACTAACTGTATGTGTTAATATCTTTTAAACAATTAGCCGTCTGCCCCCAAAAGGGGGTATGGGCGTGTTCAGCTCGACGAGCTCTACAAGCTGGCAAAGTTTCATTACTAAGTGAGTGTAACGCTTGGGTAGTTCTCCTTGTAAGTATAAGTGTAAAGGAAATATCCGCTCCCTATTTGATTTGGGAGAATCTGGAGAGAGACTAATCTGGAACCCCTATTCTCACCCCTAAACCATATGGATAAATAAAGCGAGTGCTGCGCATCCTGTTAACTAAGGGAAGTCTGAGCTGCAGACGAGTGCACCCAGTGATAAAAGAGATAAGCTGTAACTCTTTTCTAACTGCAAATAGAGAAGAGCCGCAGAGGGGGAAAATTTGATTTGCCTTCGCGCTTATATTTAACCATCCGCTTTCGGAGGACGTATTCTTTTTCGGTCTGAAGCACACTAAATGGTTAACAGAGATAAAGAAAGACGTCCATTAGAACGAT